GAAAGAAACTGGGGACCAGCCCCGCCAGTGTGGGTCAGTGGTTGAACACTGACCTATGAACCAGGAAGTCATGGCTCAATTCCGGCCGGGTCAGGACATATGCCATAGTTTCAGGCTCACTCTCTAGTAGGGGGTGTACAGGAGGCAGCTGATCAATGATTCTCTCTCATCATTGATGTTTCTATCCTTCTCTCCCTTTCCCTTCCTCTCTCTGAAATCAGTGAAAATATAAGTTAAAAAAAAGAAAAACAGGACCATTAGCTGTGAGAAATAAACTGGAGGTTTGATGGAGGAGGTGAAGGTATGAAAGAGTCCTTTAGGGAAGTGGGAGAGTGGACAAGAAGTGTAGTATCTTTGCTGAGGAATGTTAATTAATTATAAAGTAGTTGATGTTTTAAACATGTCATAAATACTGTTATGAAGATGGGAGAATGAGTTGTTTTAAGAAATCTATTCAGGCAAATAGAGTTACATACAGAGGGCTAAAACAATAAAACAACAAAAAGAATTGAGCCCTAACTGGTTTGGCTCAGTGGATAGAGCATCTGCCTGCGGACTGAAGGGTTCCAGGTTCGATTCTGGTCAAGAGCATGTACCTTGGTTGTGGGCACATTCCCAGTGGGAGGTGTGCAGGAGGCAGCTGATGGATGTTTCTAACTCTCTATTCCTCTCCCTTCCTCTTTGTAAAGAAATCAATAAAACATATTTTTAAAAAAATTGAAACAACATTGGGTAAAATTTAATCTTTGATGATTTGGGGGCAATTTTTTTAATAGTTAAGAGTCATTTTTTCTGAGTATTAGTTAATAATGCCCTGTAGATGTATAGCTAGTAACAGGAAATCCTGATTTTATGATAATAGGATGGACAAACCAGACTTTAATTGCAAAACATGCAGTTGTGAATTGACGTTTATATTATTAAAAATACCAATTTTCCTTGCTTGGTAGGCCTTGGTGTCAAAATTCTTTTCGTATTGGATATGCTAGGGTGTGTTGTTGAGTAGAAGTGAATAACCAGAGGGAAATTAATTCAGCTGAACAGGAAATAAGATGGTAAATGACTGGATGCTCACCTTATCGCTAGGAAGTGTTACACATCCCTTAGCTGTGTGTGGAGGGGTTGTGCAGAGATAGAGGAGCCAAGAAGGGAGTAGGCGGGAGGGGGTTGAGATCTAATCTGTCCTTGGCAAACTCTCTACTCCTCATTTCCCTCTTCTGCTGCCCCTTGTCTGTTATTTTGAAACCCTCAGAAGGTCAGGGAGGATACAGGAGTCCCTGACCCAGAAAATGTGCAGTCGGAACCTTAACTTTAGTGGATTTTTTTGCCTTTTATTTCCTCTAGAAATACTAGTGAAAGTTCTGCCCATGAGTGATAAATAGTAGTCCAGGGCCTTGAAGAGCAGTTTTTCTCTGGAACAGTTTCTACTATTCTACGCCTGAAGGTTAGGGAAGTTATCTTTGTAATTTGAGGCCAATACCCATCTCTTGAGCCTCATAAGAAGCACTGAATAAAGTAAATAGATTTGGCTAGCACTTGGATCAATTATTTCAAATGTATGAAATGGCCCTCTGGGAGTCATAAAACAGGTGGCCCTGAAATTGTACTGTCTGGTGGATATAGACTGGCAACCGTCCTTTAAGGGCAAAATTATGTTAAAAGTTGAGCCAGAGCATATGAACAACTGGTTGTCTGCTGTGCTATGAAAGATGGTTCCTTAAAACAGATCAACAGCTTGATGGTGATGCTCCATTTGTGTAAAATTTTGATACTAAAAATACCAATCTGGCGCTGGCCAGTGTGGCTCAGATGGTTGGGTGTCATCCTGGGCCCACAGGTTGCCAGTTATATTCCTCGTCAGGGCACATGCCTGGGTTGCCAGCTCAATGCCCCGTGGGGGGCATGCAGGAGGCAGCCAATGGATGTTTTGCTCTCACATCGATGTTTCTCCCTCTCCCTTTCTCTCTCTAAAAATCAATTAAAGAACAAACAAAACACCAGTCTCCCTTTCTCCTTCCCTCCTTTCTTCTTAAAGTTATTTTGGTGGGGGTATGGATGTATTCAATTTGGGTCTTTGGTTTGAGCTGTCATATTTATTAAATAACAAGTAATCTGTTTTGTGTTAGTGTAAAAGCAAACCAGGAACAATGGATTCTCTTTGGATTCTCAATGGAGATTACTGTAACGTGGTCAATATTTTTGTTGTTTTATACTTGAGACAAGAGAACTTTAAAATCAACTTGTCAACATGTAGCTAAACTTTGTGAAGCTGACCTAGAAAATGAAAGTTGGTTTTTTTTTATTCTGTTTGATGTAAAAGGAAAATATCTGTTATTTATTGGAACTTTTTCTAAGTCTAAGAGCTATAGATTTTTAAAGCTGTAATGCCCTAACATCTGGGCTACCCCACATTTTACAAGTGAAGAATCAGAAAGGTTAAATAACTTCTCAAGGAGCCTCAATTATTAGTGATATGCTAGTTTCCTGACTTTTTCTAGTGCTTTTTTATCACCGTATCACTAGGTTTCTTTTTTTTTCTTTTTCTTTTTTTAAATATATTTTATTGGTTTTTTACAGAGAGGAAGAGAGAGAGATAGAGAGTTAGAAACATCGATGAGAGAGAAACATCGATCAGCTGCCTCCTGCACATCCCCCACTGAGGAAGTGCCCACAACCCAGGTACATGCCCTTGACCGGAATCGAACCCGGGACCTTTCAGTCCGCAGGCCGACGCTCTATCCACTGAGCCAAACCGGTTTCGGCGACTAGGTTTCTAATATAAAAACTTTCATCCAAATAGCACTTAAGCTTGCATGTAACATAAAAGAGACTTAATGTACTTTTTTAGGTTTCTAGTTCTATTAGGTTAAATAGTGGTTCTCCATATTGATGTAAATAGGGATAGAATCTATTTTTTAAAGTTTTTTTCTTAATTTTTATTACTGATTTTAGAGAGAGGAGAGAAACATTTAATTCAGATACCATGAAATCAATTTTTACTCATTCATTTTGATATTGAAATTTAAACTTAACTTCTATTTATATTTAGTGTAAATATAAAAGTCATGAGCAAGCCCCTTCAATATCAAAATGAATGAGTAAAAATTGATATTTACACTAAATTTAAAATAAAGGTATCTATTTTATTTAGGCAGTGGGTATATAAAACCTCCACAGAAAAGTTTCTAAAATTAAAAACAAGATTTGAAAAGATTTCATGTTCATCCTTAGCATTTTGGAGTAGGTATAAAGGCGTCTGAAGAAGCTTAGTGATTAAAATAAAATGTCCCCCCTCCCCTGGTGATTAGGGTTTTAAAGAAACAAATATGGAGAAAGGAGGGATTATAACTATTAAAAACAGACTCATTCTGTGTGAACGGAACTGGGAGGTTAGTTTAGTAGACTGAAAAATGTAACTGTGGAGTAAAAACTTCTATTCTAAGCCTAGGCATTTTTCCAGGGTAGGGTGAAAGAAAAGTACTAGGACAGGTACAGACTGTTGCGTTCATTCCCCCCTCCCCCCCACCCCAATAGACATTAAGTAAATACCTAATATGTACCAGGCCTGTGGAAGCGCAAAGAATACAAAGATGAGTCAGGCAGATCCTCAAGGAGCCCAGCCTGGTGGGGTGGCAGCTATACGGAGGGGTGGGTGGGAAGGAAAGAGAGGGAGGTAATGGAGTGGGTGGAGATTGAGGGATGAGATTAGACCGGGTGATCGAAAAACTGAATATATGTAAGATAGAAATATAAGGGTACAGATATGCGCAGACTTTTTAGGCAGAAGTCTACCCCAGAACGTCTTAAAACACTATTAGCCTCAGTTGCCAGATGTGGCCAGCTATCAGGACGCTGGTCTTCTCCAGCTGTCCTCTGAGTAGGTGAAAAAACCCTCCTCCCGCTTCTAGTCCTCGCTTTCCCCACCATTAGGGCGTCGGGCAGTGGCGGGGGCGGGTTGAAAACTGCACCCACGTTTGCTGCCGCTTCTCTGCAGGGCTTTGCCGTCGTCATAGCAACTAGGAGTTCCGCGATCCCCCACCTTCCCCCAACTCCTACCACTTCCCCCGGCGGCCGGGCAGAGCTGCCGCTTTTCTCGCGAGATTTGCGCGCCGAGCCAGGCAGCTCCGCGGTGATCTCACCGCGACCGGGTGGAGGGAGGGGGAGAGATGGGGCGGGGAGGGGAGGGGACGGGAAGGGCGAGTTCGGCGCCACCACCGCCGGCAACTTTGTGAACGAGTTCAGTGCGAGCGTGAGCGAGTGAGCGAAAGTCAGTGCGGCGCTGAGTGCCCGGGAGAAGGGTCCCCGGGGAGGGCCAGGTCTGGACTCCAGAGGCCGCCCCCGCCCCCCAGCCCCGGCCATCCATCCCCTCCTGCCTCCGTGGCTCCGTGGCTCCCTTGCTATTTCCTCCCGCCGCCGGTCTTCCCCGGCCTTCGCGCCCCCGTCTGCAGTTACCTGTCCCCTCCCCCACTCGGCACGCAGCTCCCCTGCCCCGGCGCCCACCTAGGACCCCTGAACCTCGGGCCCCCAGACACCCCGCACTCGTTTCCCGCGCCGGCCGCCCCCTCAGCTCATAGACCTCCCGAGGGCAGGCGGGCGGGATGGGGGGTGCCGAGCTTTGGAGGCGGCGCGAGCGGGGACCCGTGCGCCCAGACAATAGTTGATGCTCGGGGACCGGGCACCTCCGCCCCCTACTCCACCGGGAACGCGCCCCCCGCCGGCTGCGCTCCAGTCTGCATTCCGGGTCCCCCTCGGAGCCCGGTTCGGGAGTTGGGCTGATTCGCCCCCGCCTCCCTTGGGCCCCTCAAGCTCCGCGCCCGCCCCGGCCCAGCCTCGCCGCCTGTCGTTCTCCGCAGAGGCGGCGGCGAGGGGGCGCGCGCCGACGGCCCACGGTTTCTCTTTCTCCCCAGGGAGAGCGCGCGGCGGACCCGCCCGGGACGCGCGGCGGCCCCGGAGGCCGGGCCCAGCGGTAAGTGGCTCCCGCGCCCCGGGTCCGGTCAGGGAAGTGGGGGTGCAGGGCTGTTGACAGCCTCCCACCGTATTCTGGCCGGAGCTCGGGTCCAGGACCCGGCGCAGGACACCGGGCGGCCAAAGTTTTATTTCCGATTTGGTGGCGTGCTGAGACCGCAGCCTGGCGGGGGCGAGTCTGCGTGGGGGCGAGTCTGCGTGCGTGCGCGCGCGCACCTAGGAATCCAAAGCTGCACAAGTCTCCGTCTGGCGCCCGCGGGAGAGGCTGGGAGACCCGCGCCCCGTGGGGGTGGCTGCGCCCACCCGGCTGCCATCGTCTCCGCGGGAGAGCCTTCCTTTTCAGTTACCTGGGTGAGCGCTTTGTAGGCTGAGCTGGGGGGGACGGGCCGAGAGGTTTAATCGCGAGATGCAGAGAAGAGCAGCTCGGTGCCCGCGGATGGTTCATCTCTCTCCCAGGGGTCCGGGGGCAGTGAAATTTCGGGATGCTCTCGCCTACTCTGAAGTACACCTCAGGAGGGATGGGGAGGCGGGAGGCTGCTGCAGAAAGAACTTTACCGCCCGCGCCCCATCTGTTTCCAACTTCCCTCCTGACCTTAAAGAAATGTGCGAGGCTCTCCATCGCTCCGCGGCATTTCGAGGACAAGTAAGCGCGTTGGGCAGGTTGAAATTGCATCGGGTTCACCGTTTAGAAAACATACAGGCGAGGGAAATGGCTCGCTTTCAGGAAAGAGTCGTTGGTATTCCTTTTGAAGGGAAGCATTTGGGGACTGATGGCTCCTAGACGGCATTTATCTGATAGATTTTATTTTTCATGACGGGAGGCAGCAGTCACTGAAATTGTTACTTCCTGCTAAACGATTATATTTCTAAACTGGGAGCCAGTGATGCGATGCAAATTTCAGAGTGAAGGTGTCGACTTTCATCAGGTTCCAGGTCTATCTGGATGAACTGGGGTTGGCGTTTCCTCTATAAAGCAAACCTCTTTCATGTTGAAACTCTGACTCAGGCTCTTAAAGCCATTGTTTTATACTGGTACTCTGTGGGAGTTCAGTGTCAACTTTCTCCTGTTTTCTCATGTGGAATATCCGTCCTAGGAAAAGATTCTCTGACTCAGTTTTTTGGAAAAGTACAAGATTAAGTCGTATGGATCAATTCTCGGTAGCCTAGTAACGGTATTTTTTATTTTTATATAATCTTCATTTAATGACTTTTACTTTTTACTTTTTTGAAAGCTGCAGTTAAGCCTTTTTTACGAGGATGGGAAAGAAAGCTGATGGGAATAATATAGAACAGTGGTAACAGTAGTTTCAAATAAAAGGTTTACATAAAGCAGTTTATGGTCACTGATGTCTCTAACTATTAGATGACATACCAGTTATTAACAAGAATATTAATATTAAAGCATTTTTCCCATGGAATAAATTATTTCTACTAAAGCATTAGCAATTAACAATGCATTTAAAATAACTTGGGTGGTGATTTGCATGTAAATGGTTAGGGGCAAAATAAAAGCTTTTGGGGGATGAATGGTTTCATGTGGCTGACGATTTATTTTCTTATCTCATGCTTAAGTAAAGGACTCTTGAAGTTGACTGTATCATTAGATTTCTCTAGTTGACTGAGAGAACAAGTTTGGCAAGTGGCTCAAGACAGTCAGTAGGTGTTGCTGTTAGCTTCTCTGCAGTTCCTGGTACTGCTCCTCGATTCTGAAATTGCAATTCTGGTGCAGTGAACTTAGATCTGAAGTGTCAGGCAGTGTTAGTTGTGACTTCATTGTAGCATTCCATGGCAAGGTTGATTTGAACTCTTGGTAATAGTTTCAAAGCACCTCACTGAAATTGTATATTGAGATTCTTTTAACTCTCTCCTTTCATTATTCTCTTCTGGCTTTTGCATTTGCTTTTGTTTTGAATTAGGTGTATAATTTTGGTGTCTCCCCTCCCCCCCCATTTTAAAACAGCTTTTTAAAAACTTCTTTCTAGTAACTTCATTGAAGTCATAGACTGCAGATTGCTTGAGATTAGCAATTCAGTAGACGCTGGGGGATCTTGGTTGCCTATGAGTTGAGAGATAATATATTTTCAAGTTTGAATTTTGAAATAAATTCCTATTCTCTATCTCTTTGAGCTGTGAAACAGGAGCATGAGAAGAGTTAGAACAGTATGAGAGTACAGATTTCCCAAATCTTTCCCATTTAGAGGAAAATATATAGTGATTAATGATAACATGATTATGTGTTTCCGTCAGTCCTCACTGTTGTATTATCATTTCTGTTGGTCCACATCAGTGCACATCTATAATAATAAAAAGGGTAATATGCTAATTAGACTGGACAGCCGAACAACCTTCCCGATGTCCTTCTGGACGTGAGAGCCAAGGCAAGCCACCGCAGATGCGAGGGCCCAGCCCCTTGCACAAATTTCATGCATTGGGCCTCTAGTATAAAATATGAATAGTCTGAAGATTTTCTCATGATATCTCAAGTTTGGCTCACTGACCAAATTGGACTTTCTCTGAGGAAGACAAATAGACTCATCCCCATTAATATAGAGTTAGAGCTCTGTTCTTCCTTTTGACTCAAATCACAGAAGTTCATATCTCAAATTCAGACCCCTCTGCCCCCATAATATCACTATATTCCTAACCTTTTGAGAGCTGTGGTAAGTCAAACAGTATTTAGTGAGTGCTTCTATCTGGAAGGCATGCTCTTGGATTCTGGTTTCCCAGTGATAATTACAGTGTGTTCCTGCCTCAAGGAACTTCTGTGCAATGGGGCCTTTTGTAGTAAACTTTCCTGGTTTGGTGCTATGATATCCTGATGCCCCCATGAAGGTCTTGCATAGCAGGCAATTATCTTTGTATTTTACCTTACCTAAATTAATTTCTGAAATAATTTAATTAAAAGTAATTTTCGGAAAAATAATTTTGAAATCATGATATACTAAAGAATTTGTTCTCAGAAGGTCTGGGCTTAAATTTTCCAGGTATGGGAATCTTGAAAAATAATTGAACCTTTTTCTCAACTGTCTTTCCAAAAAACTTCCTTCTGCAGAGATGGGCACAATACTTGCCTCACATCTTTGCTGCAAAATTGTGTGAGTACTTTGTAAACCATAAAGTCTATTTGTGATTGTATTTTCTTACTTTCTGATAAGCATATTCATTGATTGTTGGAGCTAGAAGGAAGTTTGAGTAAAAATCATTTGGCCCATCCTCCCCATTTTACAGATGGTTAACTGAAGACCAGGAAGTCCAAGGGATTTGTTGAAGGTTATACAACTAGTCAGTGATCAGGCACAATGCTTGGAAGGCGGGTTGTCAGAGTTAACTCTACTTCTGCTTCCTGGTTTGTTTTTTCCTACCTTAAAGCCTATTAAGTTAAAATTTGTTTATTACTTTTTCCCTCTCACACTTAAGGGTTCAGTGTTCATTAAATGTCTAAAATGAGAAGCAGCAAAACTTAAGGAAACAAAATCTATGTAAAGGTTGAAAAGCTATGAAAACAGCATTGATGTAGTATTCAGTAACTAAGCTTTAGTTAAAGTTACTCAAATTCCCAAGTAATGGAAAAAGAAATTATGAGTTCAAGTATTTACATGGTAGAGCCTGTAGGCTTGTTTTTTTTTTTTGAGAAAAGGAATCTTTGTTAACTCAGAGCACAATGTACTTGTATGTTCTTTAGAGAAGCCAAACTTAATTTATTCTAGTTTACCATTTTCTTCCTTCTTAAACTTATTTTTCATTTGTAGAAGAAGTGGTTGTATCTTCCTTATTTCTGAAACAGTGGCAACTTTTGGACCTTCTCTCAGCTACCTGTAAGGGTAACCAGAGGGCAGGGGTTGGGGGTGGGGAGGATCAGTCAGGTGGAAGGATAACTGTATAGAAAACAGGAAAATGTTGTAGGGAGCTTCCTGTTGAGAACGTGACTGATTTATATAGGACTACCCTACCTTCCTCTGGGGTAATCTGAGCCAGGAGACAAGAAACATTCCTGCCAGTTGGGTGACTGCCTTTTAAATGAGGGGCTCTCCCTGTTCCGGGCAGGGTTAGGCGTTATGTTATTCCTTTAGTGCTCACACAAAAATTTGTGTCTTATTCCATATGCAGTGCTATTTAAAATATAGGTGTCTCACTGTCACTTGAACTTGACAATCTAACCTTCTCTCCATTGCACCTCTACTTTTTGGTATGGGAAATAAATTGGCCTCATTGGATTTTTGCTTTTTGTGTTTTTTTTTTCTTAAAAAAAAAAAAAAAAGGCAAACCAAAACAAAGCCCATGCATGTACTCACATTTGTACTTTGTTTTTCAAAGGTTATACAGTTTACCCTTGAACAACACGGGTTTGAACTGTGAGGGTCCAATTATACACGAATTTTTTCCCCCAGTAAATACTGTGACTGTATTTGCTCTTCCTTATGATTTTCTTTCTTTTTTTTTTTTTTGCTGTTGTGTTTTTTATTTATTTATTTTTTTTTATTGCTTAAAGTATTACAAAGGGTATTACATATGTGTCCATTTTATCCCCCCGCCCTAGACAGTCCCCTAGCCTCCCCTATCCCCCAATGTCTTATGTCCACTGGTTATGCTTCTATGCATGCATACAAGTCCTTTAGTTTATCTCTTACCCCCCTACCTCCTGTCCCGCAACCCTCCCCGGCCTTCCTGCTGCAGTTTGACAATCTGTTTGAGGCAGCTCTGCCTCTGTATCTATTATTGTTCAAAAGTTTATAATGGTCTCTATTATCCATGAATGAGTGAGATCATGTGGTATTTTTCCTTCATTGACTGGCTTATTTCACTTAGCATAATGCTCTCCAGTTCCATCCATGACGTTGCAAATGGTAAGAGTTCCTTCCTTTTTAGAGCAGCATAGTATTCCATCGTGTAGATGTACCACAGTTTTCTAATCCATTCATCTACTGATGGGCACTTAGGCTGTTTCCAGATCTTAGCTATGGTGAATTGTGCTGCTATGAACATAGGGGTGCATATATCCTTTCTGATTGGTGTTTCTGGTTTCTTGGGATATATTCCTAGAAGTGGGATCACAGGGTCAAATGGGAGTTCCATTTTCAGTTTTTTAAGGAAACTCCATACTGTCTTCCATAGTGGCTGCACCAGTCTGCATTCCCACCAGCAGTGCACAAGTGTTCCTTTTTCTCCACATCCTCTCCAGCACTTGTCGTTTGTTGATTTGTTGATGATAGCCAGTCTGACAGGTGTGAGATGGTACCTCATTGTTGTTTTGATTTGCATCTCTCGGATGATTAGTGACTTTGAGCATGTTTTCATATGTCTCTTGGCTTTCTGAATGTCCTCTTTTGAAAGGTGTCTATTTAGGTCCTTTG